AAGATGGTTCGGAAAGAAGAAATTCTGGTTGAAACGTTTTAGGATTGTTTTTTGTTTTTTTTCAGGATGAAAGTCTCTCGTAAGTAAATCTGTGACTTTATCATGTTTCATTGATCTGTTTTTCCACTCCGTTGTAATTTTTACAGTGCAATAAGCCTAATGTATTGATTTATTGCTCATTTCATGCCTGTGTAAATTGCATTACACTTGGATAATTCACAGAATCCACACATCTGTGAAGCTAAACATTGTGACAGATTTTTCAAGGTTAAATAAAACTAAAATTCTTGGAGTATATTTTGTAAGAAAATGCTATTTAAATGTTTTATGCCATTTCCTGGAGACAATTTTCACTCATAATAATAATTACAAATAATTGCCAATTTTTTGTTCATTGTATTAAGTTCCTAACGGGACTTGTGACAGCTTGCCAAAGTGCCAGCGTGTGCCATGGCTGACCTTGAGGGAAAACCGTATCCCTCCTCCTTTTACGTAAGGTTATTCAATGAGGAAAGGAAGGTGTCTGTGTTTCTCACATATTTAGTGGCACTCTGCTTTTAGCATTGTGTTGGTGCCGTGCTGTGTTACGAAGTTATTGTTGTGGCAGTCATTGAATACTGCACGCAGTTTGATCGCTTTTAAAAGCGAGAGATTCCCCCGCTGGCAGTGAGCCAGTAGCTGAGCTCTTTATCCTTCCGATTCCATGAGAAAGGACAATGACGGAAAAGAAATAGTAGCTTTCGGGATAGTGTTACGGAATGCTGTGCGACGTGGAATTCCCAGCTTGGGGTTCCGGCTGCAGCTGTTTGACGTTGATAAAGATGCCGCTACACTTTCAGTGTTACTGTACAGCACAGGACGTACAGTTGCCCTCAGCACTCCTGGGAATGGACATTTAGTCACAAAGGAGGTTCCCTCAGTTCATGTTGAATCAGGTGAATGGCACTCAGCTTTCAATTACAGGCACTATGTTGACTGCCACAGTGTTGTTGTGTAAATATGATTTGTTTCATTGGTCAAGATGAACAATTAGCTGATTTTTTGAGATTTGTTTTTAAATAGATGATCATTTGTCTATTAAAAAGCATTTTTGACATGTTTTATGCTCTTTCGAGTGAGTTAATACGTTGAGTTTTTATAATTTATAATAGTTTTACATATTATTTTAATTAATGTTTAACACAAGAATTGCCTTTTAAAGTTTACTTAAGTTGGTATCTACAAAGCAGTTATTGGTTGGTTTGATTATTATGTCTGTTAAATAGCAGTTGAACTGCAGAGTTTAGGTCCATGTTGTTATTTTTGAAATTTAATTTTTATAATGTACCAAGTTAAAAGTTTCCCTGTATAATTTAACATGTGCTGGTAGATTGTTTCTTTCATACATAGGTAATGTATGAAAACACAATAAAAGAAATATGAAATATACCAAATGATTTAGAATCAAATCAAACTGAATCAGAGAACTGAATCAAATGGAGAGCTTGTGAATCAGATTAAAATGTATCAATACCCAGCCTTAACTGATGAAGTGTATATATATATATATATATAAATATATGTGTGTGTGTGTGTGTGTGTGTGTGTGTGTGTGTGAACCTGGACCACAACACCAGTCTTAAGTCGCTGGGGTATATAGCCGATTTTTTTGCACCCTCAGATTCCCGATTTTCAAATAGTTGTATCTCGGCCGAATATTGTCCTATCCTAACAAACCATACATCATTGGAAAGCTTATTTATTCAGCTTTCAGGTGATGTATAAATCAAAATTTCAAAAAATTTTGAAAATTTTCAACACACACACACACACACACACACACACACATATATATATATATTTAGTAACACTGTGCATTAAATTAGTTAAAAGTGACATTTACAGACATTTAGAATTTCAGAAAAGATTTCTATTTCAAATAAATGCTGTTCTTTTGAACATTCTAGTCATTAAAGAATCCTGAAAAAAATGATCAGTTACCACATAAGTAAAGAAGGACAGCTGTTTTTAACTTTGCTAATAATAAGTAATGTTTGAGCATCAAATCATCATGTCAAGTGATAAAGCGACACTGAAGACTGGAGTAATGACTGCTGAAAATTCAGCATCACAGGAATAAATTACATTTAAAAATGTATTAAAATATAAAACTTAGTATTGGTATCACCTACTAGGTCAACCAGAAAACAGTTTTTGTGTTACATATTTAGGGAGGAACTTTATAAAAATAGCTGCATACAAAAAAAATTAAAAAACGGCCCAATCAATCAATGTTTGTATTTTGTAGTTAGTTGTATTATGGCCTTTTGAACCTCAAGGACATTTTATCTGCTAATATTTGCCAGTATGTTTGCTTGTAACATGCGTTTGTTTACTTCTGTAAGATAAAGCCCTCAGAGGTCCCTGCTATAGTTGTGCTGAGTAGCTATAGGCTGAGAGTTTCGAAACTCATAAAGAACAATCTTATATCTATTGACGTCTGAAGCATTTAGTCCTTCTCACAGGAGCTGCTGAAGTGAACAAACCGTATTGTTCGGTAAAGGAGGTGACACAAAAGAGTGGTAATCTTAGTGGGGTGGAGGCTGCGCAGGAATTCTCACCACGGTTATCCATGTTACTATCAATACGATGAATGAAAACCCAGGCGATTCGCTCTCTGACGCAGCTACACTGCTCCGCATGCTTGGAGGGTGGGAGACCCTTTGGGGCATGATTTGGGTCGTCAAGCAGTTTGGAGTGAGATTCAGGCTCTATTGAGATTTGAGCTGTGGTGCTGTATTATTGTATTTACTTGCGTTGAATAAGTGACGGTGACCTTATATGGAGTCACTGTATTGCTGAATAAGGTGAGAATGATTCGAATGGTTGTTAAAGATATTTTGTTTAGGATTCATAAAAAGGTACTAGAATATTGTTGTTAAGATGCATTGGATGATATATTGTGTATTTATTGATTGAACAGGATTTACCTACACTAGATTTTGTCAATGGGTATCTGTGTATATATGTCTGTCTGCATTTGTTTAAACTTGCTGATTTTTGTCTTAGTTCCTCTCTCGGTTTCTTTCTCATCTTGAAACTTGTTGTAAGGCACTATTTTCCGTAAAGTTGTTTTGGAGTGTTTTTTTATTGTGAAAAGAGTACATTGTAATTAAATTGAATGTGACTTTTAGCAATTATTAGATGGTATTAAAATGTAGCAGGCTACATTTGTAGATGTCTTTTATTGTGATTTGTTGACAATGAACTTGAGGAACTCGATAGCTGGTTGAAATGCGATGCAATCTTAAACAATGGAAAGTATGTGCTTATGGTCTTTTATTGTTTTGTAAATATCAGATTTTGCTGTTTCAAGTCCAAACACTGACTTAAATGACTCTCTCTGGCAGATGGTATTACATTTTGTGTAAGTTTGGTGAGAGCAGCTCTTGATTTTTTTGGAGTTGTTCAGATAGAGTCAACTTTTTAAAATAAATAAAAATTAAAAAATTATTGACACATACAGTAAGATTATTAAAAAACAAATGTGGATTGAATAGCTCATTTAATGTGAAGTTTAAAGACTTTGATGAGAGATGTTTGCGTTCATATTGAAATCTTTCACTTTTTATTGCAGACAAGATTTTATTTGTGAGTTTCTTCACGTTTTTATATCTTCATGTGGGGATACACTCTTGTGTTTAAATGACCAGGCGGTCTTTGACCTTTTTGGTCAACTCTAAACCAATTGTTTTGTTCAGCGGCCCCACAAATCAATATATTTATGAATGTTTCATGCCCTCAGGCAGATGATATTAATCATGCAGTTTCTTAGCATTATTCCAAAGCTGATCACTAAAAGCTTCAGACATTTTTGTACATTGTTAACCCTCCATAAGCTCTGCGTCAGCTGACGTCTGCTGGGACATGTCACGTAAAAGTCTTTGGTTATATCAACAGGATCCTGTTGCCAATATGTAACTGATCTCTTAATCCTAAAGATCTTGAGCTGGCCTCATTTTTATCAGGTAGGATTATGAGCAGACTTTACAGGCTCACAGGACTGGCTGGTTCCTGACCTACAAGAATAACCTTGTTCATGCAGTGGCAGGAAAAGAAACATAATTAAATTACACAGAACTGATTATGTTATGTAATACCTCCTCACTCTTTTTCTCTCTCTCCGTCCCTCCCGTTCTTCCTGTCCAGGAGCACACAAGCTCTTCTAAAACTAGTTTTGAAGATAACTGTCTATGAAACAATATGCGAGTGGTCCTCCTAGTTTCTTTACACTGTGTCCTTACTAGGATGCAGCAAGTTTTCAAAGAAAAACATTTAGTCTTTCACACTGTCAGTTTTTAGTCAGTTTTATTGTTTTGTTTTACAGTAAAGCTATGTAAACATGCTTAAAATAAATTCACTTGAGAAGCAAATTCTCAAAATATTAGGGATATTATATAATGATAATAATAATATAACACACATTAAACATAAATATAACACAATTCTGTGAAAAAACTACTGAGTTAAGAAAAACAAGTAAAATAAGTAGAATTCTATGAAAATAATATGCATATTATAATAATATAGATCTCAGGTAAAATATATCTCGTATATGTGTATATAAATGTACAAATAGATCATTTAAACCTGGAAATAATTTTTTTTTGTAGCAAGAAATACTATCATTTTTAAAAATTAGTTAATTGAAATCAAACACAAGTTGATTTTCCCTATCTTGAGAGTATCTTAAATACTGAAATACACAGGATTGAGAATATTTTTATTTTACACAAAACATCTATGTGAATATGGTGTGCATTGTTTTTTGTTTTAGAGAGACATTTAAGAAAGATGCCTTACTTCTCAAAGATCTCAAAGTTCGAAACGACCCATGAAATCGGGCCCTCTAATTTTGTTTCTTCTTTGTCTTCATAGATATATATATATATATATATATATATTGAACAGATAGAGATGTTTTATGAGTCTGACAGGTACAAACATTTTGTGTATTGCAGAAATCGAGGCAAAGGAAGCTTGTGACTGGCTACGAGCGGCAGGATTCCCCCAGTACGTCCAGCTCTTTGAAGGTAACGCTTCACCACACCAGAACATAAACTTAGAAAACCTCACAAATGTTATCACACCCAACTGTAAAGCCATATGTTTTTAGATTTCGAAACAATTATATGATGTCAGCCAGCTCACAAAGTCAGCCTGATTTAGGGCAAACACAAGCTTTAAATGTGGGATATTGTTTCCGATGTTGTTCGAGTTAAGAGGTACCGTTTGAACATACTAGAGTATGACATCGTCAAAGAGAGACAGAGGTCATGGGAATAACCTTGCCTCAAAAACACTGCCGTTTTCACTTGCCCTTGGCAACTCTTTTGATCTTGGAGTGTTAGTCTATAGTCCTCTGGGAAATATAGGTGGTCTGGGATATATATTTTTCATTTCCTAAGTACATTTCCACATCTGAATATAATATAATATAATATAATATAATATAATATAATATAATATAATATAATATAATATAATATATAGTGTATAATCATGTAAACAAGTATTTACATACTAAAAAGTCTGCTACTACATGAAAAAAGATATTATTTGAATCTGAAAAAAAAAACATTGGCTTTTTTGTAGCAAAATAGACAATAATTTTAAACAATATTTGACATTTTCATATCTACATTTTTGACAATAATTGAATTTGAAGCTTATTATATAAGAAAAATGGCATCCTGTCATACAATCCATTCTTTGTTCATTTTTAATATTAATACGTCATTGTCGTCTCATTGCAGACACGGCATCAATGTGCAGAACAGAATCTTCCCATAATGCATAAGTGTTGTTTTGGAATTTCCAGCAGTTTAAAACCAGAACACTGTGCCTCTCTCTGAATCTGTGTTTTTACTTCTGTGTCGTTCCACAAAAGCAAAAAATATGATGAAACATTTAATTGTACCAGTGGAATGTTAGCTTCAGCAGGGTCTGGATCCAGTCACCCCGTTACATAAGTTGGACACCATACTCAGTGGAAGACGTAATGGCTTCTCAAAGCCAAGCTCAGTTTTTGGGGGGGCAAACCCTGTCTCACTTTATTAGCATCTGGAAGTCTAAAACAAGTTAGCTACTTTCTTCGCCTCGGCTATCGCTCTGGAAAGAATGTGTTGTCAGGGTTTTTTTAAGAGTGTGGGCGCCTGGATTCCTCAGTGTTCACTGTGAACATGCAAGATTGGCCTATTAACGAATCAGAGGGAAATCATTATGGTCCCTAAAAGACATCTGTTTTTTCCAGTGTTTGTCTATAATGAACTTGATTGTTGATATGGGATATGCCTGTGTTTCTTTACAGATTCTCAATTTCCAATTGACATCTCTCCTGTGAAGAAAGATCATGACTTCTTGGACAAAGACCTTGTGGAACCTCTATGTCGGTAAGGACTGTGGTGTGTTTGGTGTTTTCTATGCTTTCTAAACAAATCAGTCCATAATCGTAGCCAAATCTTTGGAGAACCTAACGAACACCTGAAAACCAGTGTATAATCAATAAGAAAACTAACTCATTTAGAACATTCTGTACTGGGGAAATAAAATGAGTGTAATTTACAAACTTTATTGAGTCAGTTGTTGCTTTAATCATGACATTATTTACTTCTACCTTAGATGAAGACTGACACGAGAGAAACTACACCAGACTTGAGCTTAATAGATGCAATACACAATGACAGCAATAAAAGAAGAAGAAATAAATGGACTTTTAGGACTTGTTCTCATTACTAAGGACAATTGTATGATTATTAACTAATCATCGATTACAGGATTTCATTTAGATCTACAACCACTATTTAAAACATTTATTTTGCAGTGGTTGAGGATTGTAACTCTTCACAGACATTGCAATGATGAATCAATAGCTTTTACATGGTCATCAATAATGAAAATAGGTCCCAAAAGTAATTATTTCTTTCTTTTTATTGCTGTGATTGTGCTTTGCATCTATTAAGCACTAATCTGGTGTAGTTTCTCTCATGTCAATCTTCTTGTAATTCAGAAGTAAATAATGTCAAGATTAAAGCAACAACTAACTCAATAAAGTTTGTAAATTACACTCATTATGCTTTCCCAGAAATAAAGTACAGAATGTTCTCAATGAGTTAGCTTTTCCTCGTTTAGACACTGAATTTTAATTCCCAAATTAAGATGAAAAGAGCCCTCCAGTGACTTTGGTTACCTTGGAGACTGCCCTGGTAGGAGAGCATTGGAGGCAAAGGGGGGCGTACTCAAGACAGTCTACTGTGACTCTAAACAACCCTTAAGCAACTCATCGAAATTCCAAACCTGTTTACTGTTGTGTGGGAAACAATGTCTGACATTCCCACCTCTCCCCCTGACTTCTCACTTTTCTTACAGCCCATTGTGCTTTGCATCTATTAAGCACTAATCTGGTGTAGTTTCTCTCATGTCAATCTTCTTGTAATTCAGAAGTAAATAATGTCAAGATTAAAGCAACAACTAACTCAATAAAGTTTGTAAATTACACTCATTATGCTTTCCCAGAAATAAAGTACAGAATGTTCTCAATGAGTTAGCTTTTCCTCGTTTAGACACTGAATTTTAATTCCCAAATTAAGATGAAAAGAGCCCTCCAGTGACTTTGGTTACCTTGGAGACTGCCCTGGTAGGAGAGCATTGGGGGCAAAGGGGGGCGTACCCAAGACAGTCTACTGTGACTCTAAACAACCCTTAAGCAACTCATCGAAATTCCAAACCTGTTTACTGTTGTGTGGGAAACAATGTCTGACATTCCCACCTCTCCCCCTGACTTCTCACTTTTCTTACAGCCCCCGGAGGGGAACAACTCATTAAACAATTCTAGCAAGAAATGCCCAGTAAGAGCACGGAGGAGTTTGTTAGTTGTGGATGTTTGCAAGCACCAGTGACAATGCTCACGTCTTTAACCTTTCTTTGACACTTTGCTATCTACAATTTGCTGGTGAAGACAAATTACAAATCAATCAGTATTTAATAAATGAATTGTCAGAAAAGTACTATTATAACTTTTATAATATTTTGCCAAATGTAGAGTTCTCGTGATACCAAAAATTCAGTGGTTAATACCAATACAAGTGAAATTCCAAATACAAATTTTACCACAATAAAAACTAACATGCTAATAATGACACTTCTTTAAAAAGTTAAATATAATAGTTAATATATATTAATGTAATCAATGAAAACAACGTTAAAAACTATAATGATGTCTTAACTTACTGTAACCAGTATTGTCAGGATTTTCTTTAGCGGATTGTTTAAACTTTATGTTCTCCATTGACTGCGGCCTGTTCTCTACATTATGTCTTGACTTTGTTCTGTTTTATATCTGAAGTCTTTGCTGTTATGGCACACACACACACAGACCACTGAACAATATAAAGAGTCATAAAATGTCATGATTATTACATCACAAACATCAGCTTGGTTTCCATGCATGCTTGCGGCACGCAATGTGTTGTCGTCTTTTCCACATTATTTTTTATTTCCCTTTACAGCATTAACAGCTTTTAATAAATCTTCTTCCAACGCTTTCAGATCAGGAAGGGATGTCATTATTTCTTTGACTTTTTATTGGAAATATTGATATGTTGCAGTGTTGCTTCGAGACCTTTATTGTGAACAGTTGTAACTGAAACTAATGCACTGTGATTTAACAGATTAGTTCAAGGAGAAGCTTGAGCCCACGACTTTGTCAAAAGCTCAGAAAGCTGCTTTACTTTCATCCCAAAATCATTTTTCATATTTGACTGACCACGCAAGTGACTGAAAGAGAAAGACCTATTTTCAGGAGGTTTTGGGAATGGCTTCAAAGAAAAGCAAGCTCTTATGGTTTTTGTAGGGTTTGTATTGTAGGGAAAAACAGGCCTCTCAGACCTGGAGGAGTGACTATGCGGCAGCTGGAATCAACACCACATTAGTTGCTCTTGAGGGCCATTGAAAACCATGACAACTGCAGCTAGCAAGCTTTCGCCAATTAAAAGCAAGCGACCATGAGAGAGAGTAGGACATTGGCCAATTATTGTGCCTAATTAGGTTTGCTGCTCACCAGAGCTGAGTGTTGGATAGCAGGGACATAGATCTTATAGCTTGATTATGTTAGAAACGGTCACAGAAGGCTGTGCTGATATTGTGTCCACATCACCACTGTATATGCCATGCAAAATATAGCCAGTCGGAAGGAAAGGATTTTAAATTATTTTCTATTTTTTCTCCATTCAGGCGACTGAATACATTAAACAAGTGTGCCTCTATGAAACTTGACGTGAACCTTCCTAAGAAAAAAGTAAGCGATACATTATTTCTATTTAACCTTCCGGTAATGTGCATTGTTCTTGCAATTTAATGTTATGGCGGTTTTGCTGCTAGAATCAGGATGGTTATCATGCCTATAAAGAAGCTATATAGTGACTAGCGCCAAATGCCACGTGTACTATCTCTATAAAAACCACTACAACCCTTTATTATCACAATAAACTTGATATATGAGAATGCCACTAGCATTGTCTTTGTGTGAATTGATATAATGGTTTTCTTTCTTAAAGCATACTATCTCTTTTTGTATCACCTAAAGATATTGAATAGAAACTGTGTTATTTCACACTGGTTATGTAATCGTTTAACAGAGGAAGGAATGTGCCCTTTGAAAACATGAAAAACCCATTTGAGTGAATCTACACTGTTACCTCTGGGGGTTCTGGATTGTGGGGAAGGAAAAAGGAAAAAAAGAGACAGTTGAAAGAAAGAGAGTTTTCTCAAAGAATTGGGATGGTATTCAAGCTTTGTGTTGAATTGCTAATGTAGTAAAAGATATGGCAATAAAAATAAAGGCATATTTGCTCATTTCCTTGTTAACCTGCAGAGTGAAGATTCAGATGAAGATGACCTCTTTGCCATCAGTGACAAATGGACCTTTGAATGGAGCAGTCGCCGCTGGTCCAGGCTCCAAGACATCGATTGCCTGCTGAGGGGCGTGGAGAACAAGAACCCAGGGGAAAACTCTGCCCTGCGGACAACGACCAGCAGCGAGAGCGTTCTGACAGACTTGAGCGAGCCAGAGATCTCTTCCCTCCATAGCGAGAGCAGCGGCGGCAGTGGTGGCGTTCGTGTGCATAGTGCGGAAGACTCGGACAGCTCACACCGCGCCTGCTCGGACTCTGCAGCCATGCCTGACCCCACATCACTAGGTGTGACCCATCTCTCTTCAGAACTTTCAAGCTACAGTTTGCTGCCTGTAAAGCATGGCAAGCGAGCACGGACACGAGCTAAGGAGTTCTTACGGCGCATGGAAGCTTTGCAGTTACGTGGAGCAATGGGTGGCGGAGGGAACAGGAGTCTTGTTATAAGTATCCCGGTTCTCCAACAAGAACCCCAGACTGTAAAAACTCTCCGCTGTGTGGAGATCATCAATGGAGACATGCGTCTTGCAGAGCCACCTTCCGGCATAGGGTTGCCCTCCCAGTCTAGCAGTGAAGGGAGCAGCAGCCAGTCCAGTGGGAGTGCCGTCAGTACGCCAAACATGAAGGAACGCAACATCCACCGGGCTGATCACAAGCGCAGTGGGATGTACCTGGAGGACTTGGATGTGTTCTCCAGTCTCATCCAGGGTAAGCGTGTGGCTGAGCAGAACCGACGCAATGAGTTCCACTCCTACGAGGACCTGGTGGTGCATATTCCTAAAGATCACAAGCCTGGAACCTTTCCCAAAGCTCTGTCCATCGAGAGTCTTTCACCCTCAACGGCAACCTCCATCAACTGGCACTTGGCAAGCATGGACTCGGATGTTCAGCATCCACCTAGCTTCAAAGAACCTCGACCTGTCACACAGTGCTGCAACCGAGGCAGTCGGATCAGCATTTACGACAATGTACCCAGCTCGCACCTCTATGCCAGCACCGGCGACCTCATAGACTTGGAAAAGGAAGACCTTTTTCCACATTTGGATGATATTCTGCAGCATGTTAATGGGCTGCAACAGATCGTGGACCACTGGTCCAAGAATGTATTGCCTAATAGTGAAAACGCGGGGAAGGAACGAGTTGAACTTGTTGGCGAAAGGCAAGGCGACCTGCAATCATCCAGCCAGATCACATTGGATTTTGAGGAACATTCAATGCAGGAGGGTCAGGCAACCCCTAATGATGTAGACAGGGATGGGGTGTCACTTAATGAAACAGAATCCACAGGAATGAGGGAAAGGAGAGACTCAGGGGTCGGGGCTTCACTTACCAGACCAAGACGGTAAGATTCTGTGCTAGCAATGCTATGCTATATGTGTTGCATTGAGAACTTTAAGTTTGGATAGGATCGGTTGACTGTTTAAAATAACTTGAATGCATGTACACCAAAAACCTTTATGTAGTAGTTTTAAATGCTATTTTAGGTGGCTGTCACCTCAAAGTCAGCCATTCATTTGCCCCAGATTTGAATCCCTAACATGGTTCCCTGCTCTTTGTTTAGCTTGCGATGGCCTAGCTTCCAGATTTCCAACCGCCTCAGCCATTCGGTCGCCTCTCTCCAGATCACCAGCCAATCTGCGGCCCAGCTTAGCCTGCTACAGAAATTTTCCTTGCTCCGTCTCACTGCCATTATGGAGAAGTACTCGATGTCCAACAAACATGGCTGGACCTGGTAAGAATCTGTTGGAAAAAATTATCAGAACCTATGAGATTTATGTTACTGTTTTACTGCAGCTTAAAGCTTCCTTCTCTAGTGGTCATTGTGATTAGCACAAGATGTACAAGTAGCAGTAAATCCTAATTAATTCGGTCACTATCATTAATACACCCTGCTATTGATAAAACTGTGATGAAACCTTCAGTTCATTCAGAGTATTATTGTTTATTGTTTGTTTTACTTTTATTACTTGTAGGCCTGTTGATGACTTTACTCCCAAAACATAAAATATAAAAGATGCCCCAGGGAAATAGAAGCTTATATTGTATAAAAGCCCCACACATATATATTTTTTTGTATCTCTCAGGTCTGTGCCAAAGTTTATGAAGAGGATGAAGGTTCCAGACTATAAGGATAAGAATGTGTTCGGGGTTCCACTGATTGTGCATGTGCAACGCTTTGGTCAACCTTTACCTCTTGGTGTCCAGCAGGCTTTGCGCTACCTCAGGAGCCAATGCCTTGATCAGGTTAGTCAGGGTCATCAAATTAACAATATAACTGTATAACCTGCAATCATCCAGCCAGATCACATTGGATTTTGAGGAACATTCAGTGCAGGAGGGTCAGGCAACCCCTAATGATGTAGACAGGGATGGGGTGTCACTTAATGAAACAGAATCCACAGGAATGAATAAATCTAATGGCAATCTGAAAACAGTATCATAATATTTTATTTAAAAAAATAATATAAATAAATAATGCTGAAGCCTATTTTCGTAATCATGCTTGTCTGATTATCTTTTGTTTACTATTTTTAATGGGCTAAACAATTATTCTTAAATGCGAATGTACATAATCCTGTATGTGCACATTATATTATATTTCCTTATAAGTCAGCTTAAGTTCTTTACAGTTCTAATGTACAATTTCTTGTTTTCAACATCCTAAAAAATCCTAGAAAATTCACTATTAAAATTGTCTTGTGTGTTCTAGGTGGGTCTTTTTCGTAAGTCAGGAGTGAAGTCTCGTATCCAAGCTCTCAGACAGATGAATGAGAATTCTCCAGATGATGTCAACTATGAAGACCAGTCTGCGTATGATGTGGCCGACATGGTCAAACAGTTCTTCAGGGATCTGCCTGAGCCACTTCTGACCAGCAAACTGGGTGAAACCTTCCTCCACATTTACCAATGTAAGAAACACTTCCCAACTCTAACCACTCTCCTACATCCATCTCATGCATTTAGGAAGAGAAATACAGATTTCCTTTAGTCACCTGATCCCTGTTTCTTCTTTAGATGTGCCCAAAGAGCAGCGCTTGCAGGCTGTGCAGACGGCCATCATGCTGATGTCAGATGAAAACAGAGAGGTACTGCAAACACTGCTCTGCTTCCTGAGCGATGTCACATCCTCAGTGCAAGAGAATCAAATGACGCCTATGAACATTGCAGTGTGTCTGGCACCTTCACTTTTTCATCTCAACATCCTGAAGAAGGACAATCTTGCACCAAGGTAGATAACATATCTACTATTGATCTACTGTAGTATATAATTTATTAATTTCATCCATCATTATATGGCAGATAAAATGTCCAAATAATTCATATGGAATAATATGTATTTCTTGACTTGAATTTATTATTATAATAATATTACGGTACATTTTATTGTTTAAAATAAAATTATTTAACTTTTTATAAAATTGCTTAAATTATTGAAATTAATTTCATGAAAAGTTTATTGTCATCTTAACTAAATCATTTTCTATTCTGTCTACAGAGCTATGCAGATGCAGAAAAAGTATGCTACAGGGAGGCCAGACCAAAAGGACCTGAATGAAAACCTGGCTGCCACTCAGGGCCTGGTACACATGATCACAGAGTGTAACCGCATGTTTGAGGTGAGACACACACGCATCTATACTTTACTCATGATGCATTCGCATTTTTTGGTTGTTATTTGCCTTTTCAATTGTCCCTAATGCAGACCACGAATTGTTTTATTTTCCCTCAGATTCCACATGAAATGGTGACACAATCACGAAACTCCTACGTGGAGGCCGAACTTCAGGCTCCCACGATTGAGGAGCTCTGCAAGCGGCAACATCAAGAGGAAGAGGGGGAAGATGAAGGCTCTTGGCCTGCATTCATGGAGGCCAGGCTACAGGGTCTCCTCAAAGAATCACGGGAAAAGGCCAAAGGTTGGGTGTCCTGTCAGAGCACCGGCAACACAGAGCTGTCCTATAGGGCATCAGAGCTATAGTGATGGAATCCAATTACTTACTGGAGCCCTGTGGCTCTGGCAAGTCCAGACTCACCCACATCTGCAGAGTGGACCTGAAGTGAGTAAATATAGCTGACTGACTCAATCATACACACAAATAGAATTCTCTGACTGTAACCGCATTGTTCATAGAAATCCATACACGTCAGTGTGGTCACGTCCTGCACTTTTTTTTTTCAGGGGGAGAACTCCGGACTGGTATAACAAAGCATTCGGACACCTTTGCGCCACTGAAGCTGCTCGTATTCGCAATTCCTTCCAGCCAATCCACACAGAGGGTCCAGAAACAAAAATTTGAGCCCTTGTTATCATTCTGGAAACAGAAATCTCAGTTCTGTGACTCTATAAACCCTGAGAAATGTCTGCCCTTTTGCACAATGGGCAGAGTTGCCTGGTCTGGGTAATAAACCCAAATGGGAATGTTCGTCAACTTACCAATGTACCTTTAGCTTGTTAATTTTTAATATTCTCTTATTGTAACTATTGTTATTTGTATTATAATTAATTATTTTATTCTTTTATATGATCTTATACAATGTATAGGACACCTAAGCTCTTAAGTGCTTCTGGGAAGCATATATTTTATTTAATTAAAAAAGAAATCTATATTTGCACATGCATGCACTGCATGTCCATGTATGTGTTTGTTTGTATTTGTGTGTATCTACACACACATCTTGTATAGACTATATATATATATTTAAATGCTCATGTAGTATAAATATTATGTATACATGTGTCTGACATCTCCTTTTGCACAGATATCAGTTTAATTCATATGGTACAAAATGTTACTCTGTTTGTCCATGAATGGGTGTAATATTATGGAATTTTCACTTGCTTGTTTTAAAGGATTGACAAAATGACTTGGGTTTGATTTTCTCAGATCTGCTTTTATAGTACTGGATTACATTAATGATAAAGAGATGATGATTTTTAATTAAACGTTGTCAATGAATTAATATTAATTTGTTTACTGTCTATTTGATGCTTATTTTCTTCCTATCATCTACATGATTATTGATATAATATCAGTTTTTCATAACAACAATAATAACATAACCATAATCAAAATCATGCACTACCTGGTCAAAAGTTTGGGGTCAGTAAGATGTATTATTATTATTATTATTTTAAAGAAATTAATACCTTTATTCAGCAAGGATGCATTAAATTACTCAAAAGTGACAATATGACAATAAAGACATTTATTAATATTATAATAAAGATTATTTTGTAAAGACTATTTTAAATAAATGCTGTTCTTTAGAGCTTTCTATTAATCAATTCATGAAGAATTTTTGTTCACAAAAATATTTAGCAGCACAACTGTTTTTAACATCAATAATAAGAAATGTTTCTTGAGCACCAAATCAGCACATTAGAATGATTTCTGAAGGATGTGACACTTAAATTATATTAACACAATTGTAATAAATTGTAATATTAATATTATTGTAATATTACACATTATTACTGGTATCTTTAACCAAATAAATGCATTCTTTGTGAGCATAATATACATTTTTCAAAAGCATTAATAAATGTTATTGTCCCAAAACTTTTAAATGGGAGTGTAACTCAATGACAATAAATTAAGAGTGATTTTTTTTATTTCATTGTATTATTATTATTTTTTCCACCAGCATTTGCTTAACACAAACCTGCAGCACTGAAACTGGTCAAGCACTTCTGTTATCCACTAGATGTCGGCGTTTATCTATGACAAACTTTTCCTTCCTCTAAATGACTGCCTGTTTTATTGGTAAATATAAAAAAGCTTCAAATGCTGCTCAGTTTCAACAGATAGCTTGTTTACTGTTTTCATATTTAAATGCTTTAACGCAGAATTTGTTTGGATGTTAAAATTGGTGACAACAAAGCCACAAACAAACAAACAAAAAAAGAAACATAATTTTTAATGTATGTTTAAATAATAATGAAGTGCATTGATTACACCACATGAACAACATTTTGTTGCTGTAAATAAATGTACATGGATTTCTAAACATCTGACAGCATTACAGATGGACATAGATCACTATCTCACACGTTTACCCTCTTCAGAGATCAAACCTCATTGTGTGGTTTTCTGCAGACAGCCAAAGAATTAATCTATCAGATGCCTCTGTCATTAGAGAAAAGCAGGAAACAGACACGAAGAAGACGTGGACAATAAATATTTAGCAAGGTAGGCCTAAATATTTTTGATAATGACCATAATTTTAGTAAATCTAAAATCTATCTATCTATCTATCTGTCTATCTGTCTGTCTGTCTGTCTGTCTAATTTATTTATTTAGGCCTATTTATTTATTTATTTTACAATTGTCCACAGACGCTGGCATCAGTTATGAGAGTTATGAGAATGAGATGAGCAGATTCATTACCATGGTGATTAGCGTTGCCATGATGACACTAATTTTAGTACATATGAAATATTTTAAACTACTTTTCTTTTATTTTTTTCCTTATGGTAATAATTTTTGAGTAACCTACGAGAGACATGAAAGTAGCTGCCAACTTCAGTTACACGGATGAGCGAATTGATACAGCGTCAAAGACCGTAATTTTAGCAATTATAAGATATTTACAACTTTAGCTATAGGCCATATCAGTGTTGTGCGGTGGTGTTCTGAAATGAGGAGCAAAAGTCCTCAAAGTTATTTATTTATTTAGTTTAACTAAATATACATAGAATATAAATAACACATTAAAGGGGTCATATGATGCGATTTCATTTTTTCCTTTCTCTTTGGAGTGTTACAAGCTCTTGGTGCATAAAGAAGATCTGTAAATTTGCAAAGACTAAAGTCTCAAATCCAAAGAGTAATGTTCTTTTTAGCAGCATCATATGACCCCTTTAAAAAAACCTGAATTTGGTCTTTGTTAATGCATTAACCCCTTAACTGTCACCCCCCATTTTTTAAAATAGGTATGCAGGTGCACTATCCAAACTTAAATTGTTGTAATTTATGAACACTTTGGAATACAGACATAAGGTGGTCTCTTTTTAAAGAAGAAAATCAGCAGAATAATTATTTTAAAGAATTAAAGTATCAAAAAGTTATGGTAGTTTATTTTATATATAATAAATATTTTACAAAACAGGTTTTACTCTAAAATTGGTATAAAGTTAAAGCCTTATGTCTAAATAAGTTATGTTCCAAATTTGAAGTTGATGTGAAAAAATTTAGGTTCCTGTGAGATTTTATTTAGGGCGTTATACCACAAACAGCCACCGGGTGCCATCCAAACTCTATTGAATTTTTTTTAATGCATTTTTCTGTCACAAATGTCTAGATTTCTCTGTCAATATTACTTCTATCCACCAAATATGGAATCCTGAGACTCAGACCTTTCCAATGATATGTTTTTTGTCAAGATTATAAAAAGTTTTGATTGTAAAAGAGCGTAATGCATTTTGTAATATGACACTTGACACCGCCCACTAAGGGGGAGGAGACCGCCAAAAGATTTTAAAGTACCAAAGTAACACAATGTCCGATTTCAAAATGATTTTCACAGGATGAGCTTCTAAGCTTTCACATGATATATGATTTATGATGATTACTAAAAGATTTGATAGAGAAAAAGGACAACAAAAAAAAAGAGTGCCAAGCGTCCCACAGGTGGGACGGTGACAGTTAAGGGGTTTTAAGCCATATTAGGCGTAATAATAATTTAAAAATGCGCTTCATGTGTTAGATCTTTTAATATCACTGTCTTAACACATAAGTACGGAGCCCCACACATGACATGCAGGGGGAAAAATATAGATCGCACGAATTTGTTCCCTTGTTTTACTAAATCATTGCCACGTTTTAGTTTAATCAAATCAAGCACGAACTATTATATCTGGCGCATAGGCTGGCTTGACCGGATGTTCACAGATGACGACTCACTTGACTGGGGCAACGTAAGGACGCGGGGTTTTCCCTCGCTAATTTTACAGTTTACTAGAGCCTCACATGCTAAAATAGCTTAATATTTCACGTCGGTTTTCAATGCTTATATTTTAGTTGGTTACTTTTAAACGTTTCTGATAGCTGTTTGTCTACTAATTTTTTGTATAGTACAATTTCATATGCTTAGTCTACATTGCTTCTACTGATATGCTACTGCTTTTTCCCCCACACAGTTACAGCTGTTGATTCCTTCTCAAAGTTATTGCCACCTCAAGATATAAGGTTGTCACCCTACAGAGTTTTCAAGAAGCTGGTTTTAAGGACATTCATGTTACAGTGAGGTACAGTAAACACATCCTTACTGATATTAAAATCTTTTGCTGTTTAACTTGTATATTTGTTGCAGGCCTAATGCAATAACACAACATATTTAATGCAGACCATGTAGTTCTTTTAGTACAATTTCATGGGCTTAGCCCAGGTGTAGGCAAGTTCGGTCCTAGAGAGCCGCAGTCCTGCAGAGTTCAGCTCCAACCCTAATCAAACACACCTGAACAAGCTAATCAATGTCTTCAGGATTACTAGGGCTATAGGCAGGTGAGTTTTGTTTTCAGGGTTGGAGCTGAACTCTGCAGGACTGTGGCTCTCTAGGACCGAACTTGCCTATATTGCTGGTACTGATACTTGTACTTTTCTTTTACAGTTACAGCTGTTGGTTCCTCTTCAAAGTTATTGTCACCTCAAGATATAAGGTGTCACCCTACAGAGTTATCCTGAGTCAGTCAAGCTGTGTGAATGACATTCATTTTACAATAAGGTAATTGTGAACTTGCTCATTTTTAAAAACAATTTTTATTCTTGATTTTATTACTTGTGTCATGACCTCTTTATGTGACCTCTTTAATCATTAATAAGATGGCATGTGATTTACATATGTGATTACTTTTCATCTGTACTTGCTACCCACCACTAGTTTCTGTGGCTCCATTTTTCCTCCTGTCTTATGTGTCTTGTGGCATCAATGTCTGTAATGTGTGTTGTAGGTGTGAAACTTTTAGGAAATAGGTATTGCAGGATCCGCGAATGAAACTGACCACAAACTCCATTAACTTAAGTGAATTATATGGCAATATGAGATAATCAAGATGTGTGATGTAAGAAAATATGTTTACACATTGTTAATGTACTGATGATACTAAATTCATTGTAGAGCAGTATGTATAGGGAAAAAGTCAATCTGCTTAACTATTACAATATATTTATTATTATTATTATTAAATAACTTTATTTTTGAATGTTTCAATATGTGTTGACACAAATGACTTATTCGAATTTTTCATTGATACAACATGGCACCGAGTTGTTAGAAAAGAAATGCGTAGAGTCGTTACTGCTTGATCACGTCATTTGACTGTCAGTCAATCTAAGTACTATACTATATATCGTGCCTAAACATGTCATCAATAATATCATGTACAAATGTAACAAAATATTAAATGAGTTGACAATAGTTTTTTTTTTCTTTATCTGAAATCTCAAATGCTGAATGTTTGTCAAGTGTTTACTATAAGGAAAACCCTTTGAGCATTCATTAGAAATAGACAAGTTTCACATGCTTGTTCTTATTGCTTTTAGTAAGCGTTTACTACATGAGTATTGTTCAACACCGTCAATGACCATGTATTGTGCAAATCATTCAAAGGTCAAAAAGTTACATGTACTTGTTTATATAGAGTACACTTACAATCTTTAAAGTAATTGATGAGCCGTTATTTTGTATCATTACACATGGCCTGCCACTCCTCATTTTTCCCCAATTCATGCCTTTTTCTTTCCCCCTCAGTTATGTTTTCTATACCTCTTTTATACCACTCATCTACCATTCTTCTAGTTCTGTATAATATTAGAGAAACTTCGATGTTTTGATGAAATGGATGTTTAAGCACTTGTGTTCTTAAATGGCCTTTTAAAACCTGTTTTCCTAACAAGAATTTGTATTCTCAAACCAATGTTAAAGCTTGTAGATCATTGCTTGAA